CCTATTTATTGAACACTAGCATGCGAGTTGATTAAATAATGATGAAACTGATTGTTGGCACGCATGTCAACACGCAAAATCACTCGAATGAAGTCCGGTCATGTAATGGATTGCATCATTGCACTAAAAAAAAAAATTAAATTTATAGAATGGATGACCTCTTGCAATCAATTCAAGCAAAGACGGTCGACGACAGTCTATGAACGCGATGTTATCTGAATATCATCCGTTCGTGAAACAAACTTCATCGATGGGTATAGAATATCAAAATTACAGAAAATACACTTATATTGTCTGATTAATTTCACAGATCTAAATCCAAAACTTACATGACAGTGTAAATTGAGTTGCATCAGTTTTTTATGTGCGCAAGGCTAATTTAGACATATCTCTTTGCATGGCTAACTTAGACACATATATTTTGCTCACCTTACTATATAATCTATTATATGAATCATTAAAAGCTAAATTATATGCATCATATGTTGCTTTCTTAGAGTCTATACATGCATCTATATATTTTTCTCAATATTTCCTGTTTACATCTAAAACAATTTTTTTTAACAAAGCTTTTTTTTTTTTTTTTAAAGTTTTTTTTTTTTTTTTCTTGCATATTTTGATTCAACCACGAACTATTTTTACTATTATGAGCTTTTCTTTTTAATTCTCCAAGCAAATACTTTGCAACCTTCTTAATATTTAGTTGCTATTCAAAATGTTGAATCCAAATATGTTTGTGGCTGATACTAGAATCCTAATACAAATCATGGAGCAAGCCTAAGAAAGAGATACAAATAAGAGGGAGAAAGAGAGCTATGCAAATCATATTGTATTGTTGTTTAAAAGCACATATTACATATTGATGTCATAATATTGATGCCAAAGAGATTTCTCAGGTTCTTGCCTCTTATTTCCATTGCAAATAAGTTCTGTGTGAGGATAAATTTGCAGAGAGGAGAAGTTTGGTGTGAGGAAGATTTCTTGATGAGGATGAGATCCATATGAAGTTGGGTTTCTAGTGAGGATGAGTTCTATGCGACGATGAGTTATCAGTGAGAATGGGTTCACTTTAAAGCAAGTTCCTAGAAAAGAGGAGTTCTGTGTGAGGATGAATTCTATGCGATGGCCAGTATTGTATGAGGGCAAGTTGTACATTAGAACAAGTTTTTTAGAAAGTTCTTCCCTTTGATGAAATCAAACAAATGAAATTCCTTGACCAGCTCTTCTGGTGAGAATTCTTGAGTGACTTTGATGAATACAGAGCAAGCAGTTGATGATTTTAATAAATTTGGTTCGAGTTCATAGCATAATTTGTTCAACTTGACCAAGATGAACATTTGTGTATAAGAAAGAATTACTTCAAACTCCAGATTTTGATGAGCACTTGTCTCTGAGAAGGAGGAGCAAGTCTAAGATTTGGATAATTATTTTTCACCTGAAGAACCACTAAGAGAAACGGGAATCAGATTTCTGAGAAAAAAAAATTATAAAAAAGGCCCAGATCCTTCCTAATTAAATATTAGGAAGATTTAGTTCGAAATTAATGTGATTCTCTCATGTTAAAAATATTGTTATTGTTTTCCATAATTATACCATGCCAGCCTCTCATATCCAACTGAAAGTTATTCAATAATAACCTGCATAGAAAGAGAAGAGAATTTGGTGAATATCAGTATCATACTTTCTTTTTATCATTTTCTTCTCTTGTTGTAAACGTGTAAAGTGCAACAGAAAGAACAAGCATGATAGCTTTTCCCGTTAGTAAAATGGTGGAATGTCCACAGTGAAAGATAGAAGTACATATGGCTAATATATGGGAAGAGAAAGCTAAATATTTTCTTGACTGAGCAATCAAGAAAAGGACAGCACTATATGGGCAACTATGACTCTATAAGAAAATAAATCCTTATTTTTTCTTGTTTTCTTTGTTTCATTTGGACTGATATATTTGCAAGAATTGCAGAAATTTGTTTCTGTTTTCCTTTCTTAGATCAATTTAATAAATATCTGCTTCTATTTCAGATCACATCTGCTTATTTCACTCTACAATAATTACAGAACTTGTTAGGCTATGCTTTGCTGCTACATTTTCAGTTATTAAGGGGAAAACCATTGTCTTGTGTTTTATATTGCATATTATCTTGGCTTGTCATAGAACTTTAATGGCAGGTTTGGCTACACATTATATTATCATTGGCCTCAAATGAACCTCAAAAGAGTTACTTATTGAATTAATTTTTATCATTTCAGAATATTTTGTAATTGAGTTGCAGGAAAAATAAATTAATAAACATACATGAGCAATGTGAAGGCCACCCATATATGCTTGTACTGAATGAGCTATTAAAGGGTTGTAGTGGTTGTACTAAGTCTTATATCTCATGTGCTATACCTCTTCTAATGATCTTTACAAATACTCTTCTTCTTCTTCTTCTTCATGTCTTCTATCAGTTTTCTCTTTGCATGAGAGCAGCAGAAACAGGGGTTTCTTTCAGTTCAAATGAAGCAAAATGGAAGTTTGTATTTGCTTGGTGTTTAATTTGGACTGAAGGGAGCTCCTAATTCTTCAATTTTTCTCTCTACTTATTGATGATTATTTGTTGAGGTTCTGAAGCCTGAAGTCAAGTAATGGAGCTTTGCTTTCTCCTCTGTGGATGCTGGTAAGTTGTTGCTGCCTCTGTGATGTCATGATGTTATGTTTCTTAGGGCTATGAATTTGACACAAAAAAATCTTATGAAATGTTATCATTTTTTCTGCGTTGGATCAATGAACCGAGTAACAAGTCAAGTAGGATTTGGATTGAGTTTGAATTGAGCTGGATTTAGATCAACGGAGCAAGCTCGAGATTTGACATAAATGCAAGTACATTTATGTGGGCATGTGGTTGTATGCTCAATTAAGAATTGACTTTAAAGAGAAAAAAATAATCTAAGTCGAAAACTTTCATTCCTTGAATCATGTTGATCGTAAACCTATATGTAGTTTTGACTTAATTCTTTGATTGTACGTCTTAGAATCAACTTTTGTTATACTGTCGAGTCTAATTTTTTATCCAGCGAAGAAAACATGTTATGAAGATTTAGGCTTCGTTTGAGATGATTTTTTTACTGTTTTTGAAGCAGTTTTTTAGTAAAAAAAATTTAATTTCTGTATTAGAAAACTATTTTTAGAAGCAGGAAAAAAAAAAGTTCTAAACGAAGCCTTAATTATACATCAACCTTCACAATATAGCGGACATGGGAGGTGAACACTCGAGTAATATCTAACAATCTAATGTGGAATGAATGATTAGCATTGATAAATTCGACATGAAAGTTAAAGTGAATTAGATAAATGAGATCAATAATTGTATGTAATTAAATCACAGTAGTTAAGAAAATTCAAATCCATCCTAGAGATGTAAGTATCATATATATAATTTAAAATTTTCATCTCATGAATCTAACACCAATTATATTTTAAATGTATAAGATTTTTTAGTGTAAAATATATTGTTACAATAGAAAATGTTGTGCAAAGTAGTAAAGTACCTTGGGAGTCATTTTTGTAAAAGAGGTTTAAAAAATACTTTCTTCATAAGAAATTGTTGGGGATCACCTTCTTTAGTGGATCATTCAATTTCTCTTTTATTTTTGGAGTATTTTTATTTGCCACCTAATCAAAATATAATGTGATTCGAGTTACACATCCAATAATAACATTAAATTGGCGGAACATGTCTGTTTGTTTCCTTGGGGATATATGCTTGAAAGTTTCATTCGTTCTAAAATACTTTTGCATTCGAATAAATAGAGTCAGAACTCTCGATGACTATCTACATGATATTTCGATTATAGGAGCTCCTTGACCCTTCTTCTTTGCATATTCTCTAATTCTGGTGGATACAAATTGTGCGTGTTCGGGCTGCAGTGAAATTTCATGGTGACAACCCCTCTCCATTTATGTTTGTGCATGTAGTGATGTTATTTGTTGATTATTTAGGATTGAATATAGTGTTAATATTCATTACCCTAAACTTAGAACATTGGTTGTCCTTACATTACCTTCTATGAAATTGTTGGAACCATCTTTCGTCTCAAAATTATGATTAAACCTCACTACAATAATATTTGAATAATGATTAAAAAATCTTCGAAAGATAATTATACAATGATCGAACCTTCATCTATCATGTTTCGAATAATCGTCAAACCACCTTCAAACAATGATAATAAAATGATCAAACAATAATCAAACCATGATTGATCCATAAACTAATCATCTTAAAGCCATAATCAGAGATGTTTGAAGATGTTCAATCATCTTTGCTAGGGTGAGCATCCAGGCCATATGAGGCTTCTATACTAGGCTTTGACAAGCCCAATTGAACTACATATACTTGATGGTGATTTTAAAGGCGATGATGATTTACATATATTTGGGACAACTTTCGTACTGCTTCTAAAACCGCTTTATAATACAAAAAATTCAAATTCAATAAATTTTTGTTCTAAAAAGCTATTTTAGAAAGTAAGAGGAAAGCTCTCTCAAACAAAGCCTTAAATTACATTTGGACCACATCCGAATGAAATCCAAGTAAAATTTGAATTTAAAATAATTTCATTAGTATTGGAGTTCAATAAGCAATCAATCTTAATATAATTTTTAGAAATATTAAAAAATAATAATGAGAGAGATACTTTGACCAATTAAGCATGTTATAAAACATATAAAGTCAAATATATATACCTGTCACACCGTCACCTGTAATTCTCAGAAGATCTATTTCAACGGTCAGATCACATAAGAACGGCTTACATCCCTCCACGCTTTTCACGAAATAACCTTTGGATCCCTACAAACTTTATGGTTTATGCTGCGTCCACGCTTACAAATTTGTAACCGTCCGATCCTTTCCGAACCAACGTTCACGTTCGGATTCCGCACAGAATAATTTTCCCTTCTTTGACCCTTAAACCCTTTCGTCTGAAACGCGATATCTTCTTACAGCTCGCCCGCCATTTTCAGCTGTTCCCACGTCGCGCTCTCTCACACAGAGAATGCAAGGTGCTGCAACCAGCTCGCTGCCGTCGAGCTCCGAGAGATCATCAAGCTCAGCTCAGCAGATGGAAGTCAGAGATGGTAAGTGAATCTTCGAATCAGTTGATGTCAGTGGGAATCTGTGTTTTCTGCTTATATTGCTCTCTTTTTTGTTTCATTGATCTTCGTTTATCGATCTATGCTTTTTGCACATGTTTACCTTCGGAAATCTCGTTTTCTGTATGTAATCGGTTGTTCTGAAGTTCAATCTACCATTCAAAGTATCTGTTTTTCCCTTTGCTGATTCTTTTTTATTCCTACATTCCACTTTTGTTTGCTCTGGTATTATTTTGGACCTGCTTTCTTCTTCGTCTTTTATTCTTTTAAATTACAACACGCTCTAGTATTGCTTATCGCTTTCATATTTGCAATGGAATCTTCCTATTGTTCTATATCAATTATTCAGTTGGAATTTTTTGATTTAGTTGAGGTAAATCTATATCTGACTTTCTGACTCTGCTCCATTTTCCGATCCTGAATCTCAAAGGGGATGAACTTTTCTCCTAATGTATATGAGTGCAACCTCTTTCAAGTCGTTGAATCATATTTCCACATCTTATAGTCAAATCTTTTGGGTTGACCGCCAAACTATGAACAATCTGTCATTTTTCTTCAAAAATCAATTTAATTTTTTTCAAATTTTTAATGAAGTTGATTTTTGTATGGGTTTGCATCAATATCTTGGGTTGATAATCTATACTTTGGAATGTGTATATTTTAAATTAGAGTAGTACTACTTTCCCCTAATGAAATCTAAAAGTTTTAGGATTTTGTTGAATCTAATCTGTGTGGATGCATGCTTGTCCTATATGAAAGAGTGATGCTTTACTCACCCAAATTTTTACTTTTGGTCATCCTTATCAGGGTTTAAAGGCTTTATTAGTTATGTATTGACTTGGCGTTGAAAATTTGACTGAGTTAAGCACTACTCATGAAATGATAATGTTTCATACATGCTGATGTGGTGGACATAATTCAAAGAAATTCAATTTTTGTGTATTTATTTAGGGAGTGAAACATTATTGTTCTTTAAGTATTCGCTTTTCAGTTAATGTTGTCCCAGATTTGACCCTATGGCTTTGTTAGTTTCGAGTTCGCTACCTAACTGTAGAGCTGCAATTCATCAAATTCCTGCATCCAATTTGTTTTAACAAGCTAGGATAAAATTTAGAGATACTTTCACCTCTTTCTACATAGAATTCTTCTATTTCATATTAGCATTGAGAAATACTTTTTCAAGTCATTAAAATCAACACATGTTTAATTTATTTTTATATATAAAAGGTGTGATAGAAAAGTACCCCTCAAACTTTAGGGAAAATTCTATAAGATGGTAGTGAGGCCTGCAATGCTTTATGGTGTTGAATGTTGGCCATTAAAAGAGAACCATAATATTAAGTTAAGTGTGGCAGAGATGAGGATGCTCAAGTGGATGAGTGGCTTTACCCTTAGAGATAGGATACGAAATGAGCATATACGTGAAAAGGTTGGAGTAGTTCCAGACTTCCAGTAGAAGATAAGATTAGAGAGAGTCGCCTTAGATGGTTTGGTCACATAAAACGGCGGCCTTCAAATGACCCGGTTAGGAGAATAGAGGTATTAGATTTGACTTATATTAAGAAAGGTAGAGGCAGACCTAAAAAGACCTGGTTAGAAAATATTAGGAATGACCTTTCTTTATTAGATTTAAACGAGAATTTGACCTTTAATAGGACACAATGAAGAAAAAGGATTCATGTAGCCGACCCCGCGTAGTGGGATAAAGGCTTGATGTTGTTATTATTGTTGTATATAAAAGGTGTGATGTTAGCATATTATCTTCCACATATAGACTCCTCTTATATATGTGATGCCACGTGAGATAAATTAAAAATTTGTTGACTTTTGGATATGAAAAGTACTCTTCATTCGGATCCGGCTTCTCTTTTTAAGGTTTGGGATCCTCTTCAATTAAGTTAAAAAATGAAGTTCTACAATTTTCAGTTTTATAGCCATACAATTTGCTTTGGCTGGTTGCATTTGAATTTATAATTATTTTTAAAATCACTTTGATTTCAGTGGATTTAATCAAAGTGACCTTCATTTAATTGCATGTCTAGAATTTTGGCAACTGCACTATGCAGTTAGCATGTTTGACCCCTCAATCCTTTTTTTTTTTTTTTAAATGATATTTTAAATTATATATGTTTCCAGTTGAAAATTTTCTATTGTTTTTTCATCTTGGGAAGTAGAGGAGAGTGATGAGGAGATGAGAAGGGTGCCAGAGTATGGATACGAGCAGGCCTTTCGCTCAATTTCTGATCATACAACCAATGGTGGCACTGCTATGTTCTCTCTATCCTCTGATGTTTTGCCAGCACAACGAAAGAGGGGGAAGAGCTCCGCTGATAAGGAGAAACGCCTCAAGAGGTTAGAGAAAACTTCAATTTGATCCATATTTTGTTAAATATGTACTTTTTAAAGAAGTATTCCTTTGTTGTGTTGGTTGATAATTTCTCCATAAAGGAGGTGAAATTGCCATCATTTTTTATTTTATTTTAAGCTACTATTTGATACAATTATTAAATTTAAGAGCATGTTGTTAATTTTTATTTATAACATGAAAATAATTCATGGAACTAATTTATTTATTTTATAATAGTATAGCAATTTATTGAGTACGTGAAAAAATAAAGATACAATGACATATACAAGACCATTAGAAATTCACTTTTACCCATTTTTCATTGACCAAAACTTTCATTTGCCTTCAAGATATCATTAAAAACTCATCCATTTAATTTAATGTAGCTAAAAATTCTACATCATTGAAAAATCACCATGATCATTACATGCAATTAAAACTATCCATTGATATACCCTAAATGTCTTAGATTGATGTTCAAATATTTTTAAAAGTTCTTAAATTGTGTATGCTACTAATTTTTACGTTGGTGAAGATAATGATTGATTTTAATTTTAATTTTATGTTTATGATGGTGAATAGAATGAATGCTTTTATTTTATATTTGAAGGTCATATGATTGAAATTTAATTGAGGGAGAATAGATATTCTTCTTCTGAGAAGAAATTATATAGCACATGTGTAAAATGCTTGTTATCATAAAAATTCATTAAAATAGAATTTCATAAATAATTTTTCTAAATTTAAAAAGTTTTAATGATTAATCAAAATATTCTTATGAAAATTTTAAGTTATAGTTAGTAGCTACTGTGCATATGAGGCATGTTAATGAAAATATTAAGATGCCAATATTTTCTTATAAACATTGCTTATAGCTATATTCTTTACGCAATGTTATAAAATTATTGAAGTTGCACTGTGTGTGTGTGTTAAAAATATTTGTTTTTTTTTTAATAAAATGCACAAAATTGGTAGAATAAGAAACACATAATGTCTATTTGTGTAGTTGATAGATTGAAATAATATTATGAGGAATTTAAAACTTGGGTAATATTTTCAAAATCAAATTTTTTTATCTTGTATTGCGGCTAATTTCATGCATAACAGATTCTTTTTTTAAAATTTTATTCTTGATATTGGTTTAATATTATCAAAGGTATATGTTACCGTATATAAATTATCACATGAACTAACTTATTTATGACAAGAATATGCGCTATTTATTATTTTGACATTTCTTAATTATTTAGGACTTTTTTATATATATTATATTTTTCTTGATTGATCTCTTCTCTTGTATACGTATACATCTATATGCCTGGAATTATAAGGCAATTAAGTGAAGGATTATTTCATTCTAATTCTCTTATTTCATGGTATTCGAGCAAGATTTTACTTCAAGCTATGTCCCTAATCATCTTGTAGCCTGCTTCTAAACCTGTCATTCTCTTGCTCTTGCCTTGTGTTGCTCTGCCTTCTATTAATCATCCCTATAAACAATTAACACCACATGTGCCTACATTTTTTTTTTCTTTTTGTGATCTAGTGTGTAACCCTATGCCTTAATAATGCAAGTTCTAGTGGCTCACAATCTCATCCATGATCCACTCTTTAATCACAAGCCTAACCCCATGTGACTGTAATCTAGTGCTCGATGTCACTCTCGTGTGTGATTGTGAGTCCACTTATTATTGTACATCTAATTTTGCTTCTAGTGTACAACCATTGTAAATCGTTAATCCCGCCTTTATGTGTGATGCTTTAAGTTAAAGCACAATCCTTATGCAGTTTTCCTACCTTCTTTAAATCTTCTCACGTTTGCTTTATAGTTCTACCATTGTCATATCTCCTTTATGTCCATCACTTGCATTGCACATGCTCAATAGAACCACATTGCTACACTGAACCATATCCCCAACCGCTGGACCAGCTATTAGTTTTTTGTTAGGTATCTAATTGGGTCCTTCAATTAATTATATGTTGTTTCCTTCTTGATTTATGGAGCATTATTATTAGCATTTGTTGTTTTGGATTGAGATTCCTTGTGGGGGTTGTCAACTTAATTCAAATGTTGTTATATGGAGAAAGGATTTTGTGATTATCTTATAAACAATGGATGAGTTGAGGGGTGTAAAAACTAGTTTTCAATAAGAGTTTCAGTGTTGTTTTATTTTTTTTCTTTGTGCTCGAGTGTTAGTTAGATGCGGATTTTTCTAGTATGGTGCAAATAATTTTTAGAAGTTTTGGGGGAAAGTTATCTGTTTGTATCAGCATATTGCCTAGATTGTTATTTGGTGATTTCTTTTCCTTGTTCTCTTCTTATTCTATATAATTAGCAATTGTTTTGTTGGAGTGATTATATATTTTAAGTTTCTATTCAGACAATCAATAAATTTCTATTTGGAGTGAATTCATGTTTTTATATTCATCAAAAGAAATAAAAACTTGTCTAAAATAAAAGCCCGTGAATTGGGCATTTGATATGGTGTATACGATTTCGTGCATGTCATCCTGATTTGACATTAGCAAAATTTTAAACTTAAGACATAATTTGGTATTAAAGCTTAAGGTTACATTTTCGAAGTAGGCATAATAACTAAACCTATTAAAATAATGCTAAATGATATCATGAAAGCTATGGATCTAGACAATTATAATATGGCTATCATTAGGTTCAAATTTATATTCTTACATTTAATGAGAGCTATAATTTTTTAGAATTTTTAAATTAGATCGATAATTTAGAAGATTTTCTTTAAAAGATATATTATATTTAATAGATTAAAGGTTATAAATCAAAATTAGTGGGGCATGCTCAATCATTTTAACAAAACATTATTGTTAATTCTATGTTAACTAACATGAAGCATTAGCTTTAGGAACAATACTTGTCATTCAAGTGATATGAGGGCTACTAATTGCTTGATCACTTTAAGAATTACAAACAAGGTGACTATGGTGTTTTGAATTTAATGTAAGGTTTAAAGGTTTTGTAACAAACATAAATAGCCTCTATGTTATCATGTTACCATTATCTATTTTATTTAAAATTTAAGGTAAGAAACTAACCATGAGTTAAACCACAATTCTCCTGAAGGATTAGGTTAGACCTCATGTAAAGCTTTAGAACTTGAGGAATATTACAATCATGTTACTACACTTGTGTTTAATAGACTTTAAGAGAACTCATAATCACTTTATCTAAAGCCTATCCCTATCGAATACATGCCAATGCAAGATTTATGGATGGTTGAATCTAATCCTATTGAGAAATTATACACGCGAATGCATGATTTTGGATGGTTGAATCTAATTCTATTGAGAAATTATAATTTATGATTATTTTTTTAGGATGCATTTGATACAAGAGATGATTTGTACTTATAATGTGAATATACATTTGGTTTTTTTTAAATTTGAATTTATTCCTACATCAAATCATGCTCTCATGATTTTGAATCTAAAATTGAGTTAAGTGTTGGAATTTTTTATGAAAATTTTATAATTTGAATTATTTTTTTTAATTGAATAAATATATCATATTTACGTGGTTTTTTTTTATGTTTTCTTCATCATTTTTCCTTTTAGGAATTGTGTGGGCTCCGAAAAATTCCATTTTTAGGATGTGATCCCGGTGGAATTTTCAGAAGGCAGATGGGTTTGAGATAAGACACTACCCAGAGATTTCGCCCTCATTTGGTGAGGACTTTTTGATCTGAGTTCTGGTTTCCTATAGGCGCAAGCCCCTATAGTTAATTACCCCTCCCGATAACAGGAGTGAACTTTCGATTAAGGCTAGTCATTAAAGAGATCGAATAGGTTATAAACCTATCGCATAATAGCAATAGCTTGTAGACCCCTCCGGTTGATATCTTCGTTCAATACGGCCATCATCGGGGTGAAGTTGAGGTCGCTTATATTTTTGTAGAATTTTGGGATGCATTTTGTTATTCAAGTCGTGTTGACTCCAATCCTTTAGAGGATGATGAAACTTGAATATTTAACCCGCGCAGCATTTTCGGATCGTTGGATTTGACATTTATATTTGACGATCGGAGCACATGCGGGTTGTAGTATTTGACCCTGCGCAGTATTCTCGACTATTTGTGTTTGTAACTTTAATAGGTCTGTCGGAGCACATGCAGGGGTATATTTAGTTCAAGAGATCATATTTAATACATAAGGGGGATTTTAAAATATTTAAACACGATCCATTATGCGAGAGCAATTTTATTTAGAAAATACCCAAAACTTCATTTAAGGGGCCTACGAACGCCTTCTGTCTGCTTGTATACATGTTGCGGATCCGGTGGCGTTGTTCTAATTTAGGTTTCATTTGTAGCACGAAAAATATTCTTTACATTGCTTGCAATGAATGCTTATTCAATAGGCATTAGGAAGTCATGCTAGTGTTCGTAGGAGAATTGTATTAGTTGCTATGAATCTTCTGTTATCTTCTTTCTTTTCTCCTCTTAATGCATCTCCACCATACTCATATCTTAAGACGTATTTGATGGGTACACAAATCATTGTAATCATCCCCATGTCATAAACTAACTTGATGATTGAAATTTCATATATCTTTTAAGGATTCATAAATCATCTTGGAGGTATTACCACAATATCTTGAAAATGCTTTGTGAGAACTGAGATACTCACTTATTTTCAACAGAATTTGTTTAAAGAAAGAGAATGATGGTGTGGAGTATCATATTCATAACACATTGATTTTGTAATCATATGAGACTATTGAACAGGTGCTAAGGGTGTCTTATGGTCCATAACTGATTACTTATGTGATAATGGATAATATTATTATCTATCGTTAAAGCTATAAGATCATTTTCTCCCTGCCATTGTTACTTGCAACAGATGATCTTGTAAGTTTGGTTTGAGTGCTTGACTCAATGGTAATCCTCATATTTCCTTCATCTTGTGCAGACTTGCTTATCAGTGCCAGGTCAACTTCTCTTCGACATCGAACTTTCTAAGATAGCACTGAAAGTTTTAGAGAAGTATAGAATGGAACAATTATACTAGCATTGGATATTCAATATTTAAAATGCTAGATGTGCACCCATTTAACTTTTAAATCAATATAAGTATCTTTATGTTGGTTAACATACACAACTTTTGAAGTAAGATGCTCGTTATCACTCATCGATATGAGGTTAAAATATTCACAAGCTTTCTAAAGTTGCTTGTGTAATTAATTTTTTTTTTTTTATGATTTAGTAAGGGCTCAAATAATTTTGCCATTTCTTCGAATGCAAGATATTGATGAAAATCTATATTTGAATGTATCACATATTAAGTCAATTTCAAATAAAATTAGATTCGAGTCCATTTTGAGTATAGGTCAAGCATTATTTGATCAAATTTTATTTAAAATTGATTTTAATTTTGAATTTCGTTCAAATCAATTTCTAATATTTTTTTGTTCAAGTCCCCTGTAGTTCACTGAAAATTTCGACAGCCTCCCGGCGTCTCCTCCCCACCGAGGGAGAAATCGGGACGGCACTGCCGTAGTTCTTCCCGCCCGGATCAAAGATCTACGGCGCGAGGTCTTCAATTTTAAAACATCCCACCAGGATCTAAGATCGACTGCGTGAGGTCTTCAATTTGGAACCATCCCGGCCGGATCTAAGATGCGACGGCCCGAGGTCTTCAAATTTTAAAACCATCCCGGTCGGACCTAAGTCGGGAGCGGTTTGTCCGATCTGGAGCATTCGTATGCAATGGTTACAGTCAACAAATTGATTATAATATATTCTTTTGGATGCCTGGCAGTATTTTAGTAATTTAATTATTCGTCTCCTATCGCATTATTTAAATTTATAATTTGGATGATTTTCCTTGTTTTGATTCAATGCTACTTAAAGTTTGTGGATAGAGATCTTTTGATGAATTTACCAAACAAATTAGAGAATTTGGTTCTTTTGTGCATGAGAGGCCCTTGTTCTTCTTTTGGGTTTCTTGATTTCTTTTTTATTTTGAATTGATATGATTCCACTCGAGTCCTAGCCAAGCACACTATTTGTGACCCTTTATTTTGCAATGGTCATAATAAGGATTGAATCTAGAAGAGGTTGCTTTAGAATTTCCTCTTTTTTTTAAGTAGGGCTTTGAAAAGCCTTCTTTCCATTGGTAAGCATTTTATATGGTTTTTGTTCTTTCTTTCACAAAATGATGATGCATAAGTTTGAGCTATGCAAATGAGACCTCGTGGTAAGTGTGCCCATAGAGATTGAAGTCTGTCTCTAGTTGGTCAACACTATCGCTCAACTTCTTCTTGTAGATGCAAAACCATCATATGCTGGGATGCCAATTTTGGCCTTCACCATAAGAGGTCGTGGACTTAACTCCTGATGCGATATTGTAAGCCTTAATGTAATTCATGAAATTTCAAGAATATGATCAAGTTAATTACAGAGTTATGCATACAATTTTTACCACAACTTATTCAATTAGTAGCTGGGGAGATATTTGATTGAAGCAAAATAGAAGACTGAAGTAAATTCTTGCAGATGAAGTCGGTCAAATTAATTGCATTATTTATATTGGTTTTCTAGCTAATTGTATTATAATACAAAATGAATATAGCAACTTAATGTGAACCTTCAAGTTTTCACATAACTGAAAAACATTCAATACTTATTCTATTATGAGATACAGGCTGCTAAGGAATAGGGTATCAGCACAACAGGCAAGGGAGAGGAAGAAGGCATATATGGGCGATTTGGAAATAAAGGTGAAGGATTTGGAGACCAAGAACTCTGAGCTAGAGGAGAGACTTTCCACCCTTCAGAATGAAAACCAGATGCTCAGACAAGTATGCACTAAGTAAACAATCTCAATGGTTGGCTGCAGTTATTTTATTTATGAAATTTTTTCACCGAGCAAAAAAATATATTGTCAATTTTTTTAGACCTGACAATCAATTGATTTGACATTTCAAATATAAAATTGAGAAACACAGAATAAAACTCTGCTGAGATCTGATGTTTTGTTGAAATAAGCTTATGACTGGTTTTATTAGTTATAATTTTAGGATGGATGTGTGATAGATTTAAGAAGGATAAATTATGGAATAGTTAGATAGAGCAAATATTTAGAGTAATATATGTTGAATATAAGGTAATTGAAACAAGACTGAAAAAAAAAAAAAATCATTATGCATGTGATTAAAATTAATGCCAGTGGATTATGAACTTTTTAAGAACAAATTAATATAGATGATTCATAAAGCGGACCACAACTTAGTAAGGCTCTTCTACAACTTAATAGTATATATTTCATTTGTTCAATTCTGAAGAATGTGGTTTGATTCATTTGGGTTATGGATTTGTATTCACTGACTAACTTGAAAAGCCTTTAAACTAACCCTTCTGTGTTCTGTTGTGTAGATACTGAAGAATACAACTATTGGTAGGAGAGGATCAACTGGCAGCGCAAAGGGTGAATGCCCGTAGTAGCTGGAAAAAAAAAATAGTTGGTGCGTTCTTAACAATTTCTTTCTTTTTTTCTTTGTGCGCATGTAGAAATATAAAAAGAAAAACAGAGTCAAAGAAACGTTGGAGAGAGATGTCCACAAATTCTCTCTCTCTCTCTCTCTCTCTCTCTCTCTCTCTCTCTCTCTCTCTCTCTCTCTCTTGTGGACATTTAGGCATTTAGACCAATTTAGCTCAATTCACAAATTATTAGGTCTGGTCACCTGACAGAGAAATACATCCGAATTTTTCTCTATATACAGTCAAAGCGCAGCTGCTATAGTAACTGCACTTTCACTGCGCTTTTACTGTAGACAGAAAGAAATCCGGATGTATCTCTGTGTCAGGTGACCGGACCTAATAATTTTCCATTCAAACACACATTACATATGCAAAACTTGAACTCAAGACTTCTTGATCAACAGACTAAGATGAGCTGTGTTCTCTCTCGCTTTCTTATATTATCTTTTTACATTTTATTTCAGCAGAATGACAATTGAAAACATTTCAGTTCATGACCTGTGTACTAATCTGTGGATTTTGGTTGTTTTTATGCCCTCTGATTAACTAAATCCTCACTGAATGCTGCAGGCTTTTCAGCAATATACTCGTGATGCAGAAATCAGGAAATTTGAGCTTGGAAGCAGGGGCGGAACAAGCCTTATTTTTCAGAGGGGGCAAACTTATAAATAAAATTGTAGATATTTTTTTTTCATATATATATCATTTTAGTGACTAATAATTATTTGTACTTGAATACATAATACATTTTAAAAATATTATCAACATCTTATATAATGATAATTATTCTTAAACAAAAATTAAGTAATACCTCTACACAATGTGTCGGGGGTCCAAGAGGGTAGAGCCCCCTGACGGGGTTTGACCTGCCCCGTCAGACAATGTGTATAATTATGCTAGTGGGCAATCTCCTAAAGATCATAGTATTTTAAATTTTTTGGTGGGGTGGTGGGGGGGGAGGTTAAATCACTTAATGGTTCCGCCCATGGCCGGAAGGACGAAGGCACGAAGCTTTTGGATTGATGTGCATTTCATTGGATGTGCATAAAGACATGCTCCATATAGCTATATATATATATATATAATTCTTCATGCTGTTTTTTTTTTTTTACATTTAGGCTATTTAAGACAAATTCACACATACACCACATACACATAGACTCGAACTTTAGACCTCTTGGTTGGAAGCCTTAGCTCTCAACCAATAGGCCAAAGATAGCTGTGTCTTCATGCTGTTTTAAAGATCAACTTGTTGATATAAGCATAGAGTAGGTTTTAGGAGAGGCTCACTTAAGACTTGAATATTTTTTTAAACAGGCAAAAATGCTACAATTTATAATTGGAGGCCGAAGACACAGGTGTAAGTGAGTTAAGCTGGCTCATGAGTCTGCTCGGATTCGGCTCAATAAATTATTCTTGAGCAACTTTGATAAACTAATTTGTCAAATTAGAGCCAAATTTAACTTGACTCGTTAACTCGTGAGCCAGCTCCTTAAAAATTTATTTACATAAAATACAATTAAAATGTATTAGCATTTGAGATTTTAAATGCAAAGTTGTTACAAATATTTTTTAAAAAGGCTAATTTTTTTATGATAAGAGACTTTTTTTTATTTTTTTATTTCTCATGATAAGAGACTTTTTTTTATTTTCATATTTCTCATTTCGTTTTAAAATTTTATTATAATAAATATTTTAATCATAAGTATTGTTCACTCTTTTATAATAAGTTGTCTCGAGCTTATTAAAAAAAAAATTGAGTTCAAAATCGATTATATATATGCATTTGATAATAAAAATATAATTAATTTAAGAAATGTCGTTTGATGTAAGATAGATTGGCTATGGCATGTTTATGATAATTTAAATGGATAGCATTGCCAAAGTATAGTTTTTCATGTAGTATTTTACCTCCACCATATCCTACGAATACGAGTAATTATTACGTCCGGACAAAAAATCGGAAACCTGAACGGATACTGAGCAATATTGAGTGCTCAATACCGAGTTTTAGGTGATGTGGTGCCTATTTATTGGTCTCTGGACGCGTCAGATGACCAGACGTAATAATTGCTCTACGAATAGGGGCAGAGGGTGGGCCAAGGACATCTGAAATTATTTGATGTAATTTTATATTTTCAAACAGAGTGATAAAATCTCTAAGCTACACTCTCTAGATTTATTTTTACTCTTATTTTCTCTTCCTATTTTACCATTTTTTTCAATGAACCTAATAATGATTTAACAAATTTAAAAAGTTTTCTAAACAATTATACCGTTAATTTTAATGATTCTAAAGAGAATCTTACATTTGAAAATAATGCTTTAGCTATTGATTATTTATTTATATAACATTTAAATTTTCATATATTTTTTATAAGATCTAAAATTTCAAATAACGTCAAAATTTAGGTATAAAAATATATATTTTATTTTAAATAAATAAATATTAGTAATAAATTTTATATATTTTAAATATTAGGATGCTGTAGAAGCAAATGTAAACATTTAGAGGTTAGTGTTATAAATACAAATTAATAAAAAATGCTAACAAAATGAATAAAATTTAGGGTTTAGATATATAAATTAAGTCTAAAGCTTAAAGCATTCTAATTTTTCCTCCAATGGTTTCTCTTTGTTTTATGCTATCAACCGATAATCTTAGGCTTCCTTTGTGACGGCTTTATAAAACAATTTTTTAGTAATAAAATTTAATTTTTTTAACTAAAAAGCTGTTTTAAACAGTAGTAAAAAAGCCGCCCCTGGGACGACTTTCTTACTATTTCTTATTGCTTTAAGAAGCGTTAAAAAAGCCGTCCCTAACAAAACTATGATTATGAGAATAGATAATAAGCACATAAAATCATATAATGCAAGCCTAACAACGAAGTGCTGCAAGCTGAATCATTTATTTATATCATATTAGCAGATGCAACAAAAAATAATACAGAGATTACAAAAATGTAGACAAAAACAAAGAGATTGGAGATTCTTACTCCTCACAACAGTTGGAAATGGAACCTAAAGAAGCTGTAAATTTGTTCCATCTATAAATTATCAAGCGTAGCATAACTGGAGCTTGATCTCATTGAATATTCTGCAACCAGTTTGGCAAACAAGGATGACTTGTTCTCCAGCAGTCTTGCTGGCGGATCGTGTTCGACTATCAATCCTGCACAAGATATTTGGATCCAAATATTAACAAGCCTTAGTAGCTAACTAGAGATCTCAAAAACATAAAATTATAGCTATGAATGAAACAAACTTAGATTTGATTCATCAATATCTTAAGATAAGCTCAAAGTCGAATGTGCGACTTTGAGCTTATCTTAAGACATTGAGTCACAATGCAAGCTCAAACCGTTCAGGCTTGATATGTTTTCGAGCAAATGATTATTGTTGGTGTAAAATTCTTAGCCTTAAATGAAAAAAATTACTCGGAACGAAGACTAAGAGCATCTCCAATGGAACGGCAAACAACTGTTTGCCGTTCTTCCAAGCGGCAATTCTTACCGCATTTCATCGCGGATGAACAGTGCGACGCCAATATTTGCATTGCACTGTTCATCTGCGCCATTTTTTGGTCTCTACCGAACTTGCCGGAGAAACGCGCGAAAGAAGAGAACGACCGTTACGGGGCAAAAATGGAGTTCAATTGGAGATGAATCATGGCATTTTTTTTGTTTCACGATATTTTGGAGTGAAAAATGAGATTTTCGATTTGAGATGCCCTAACCGTTATCAAGAAGTAACACCATATCACTGTCTAAAACTGATGTTATCCGGTGTGCTATTGTGATGACAGTTGAATCTAGGAATTGCTGTCTCAGTGTTTTCTGAATCAGGCTATCAGTGGCAGTGTCAACTGAAGCAGTTGCTTCATCAAGAACTAAAACCTTGCTTCTTTTCAGAATGACTCTTCCAAGGCATACCAGCTGACGCTGACCCACACTCCAATTATCACCATTTTCAGCCACTGAAATTTGAAATTTATTAACTATAAACTACCAAAATGACCAAATCAAAAGAATGAAAAATTTTCTAGAATACTGCCTCTGTATCTTACCTATTGAGTCAAGCTTCTTTTCTTTCTTTCGAACTTCATCTCCAAGCTGACAGCAATCCAAGGCCTGAAACACAAAAAATTACTACTAATGGTTGAAAATCAGCAGAGTTCATAATTAGGAAATTAAAGTACCTCCCAAATTTGTTCATCTGTGTACTCTTCAAGTGGATCGAGGTTGGTGCGCACGGTTCCCTCGAACATGGTTGGATCTTGTGGGATAATGCTTAATTTTGATCTCAGATCATGTAATCCGATGGTTGAGATGTCCAAGCCATCAATATAAATCTGTCCAACCGTAGGATCAATGATGCGGAAAAGTGTCTGAATCAGGGTAGATTTGCCACTGCCGGTTCTTCCAACAATGCCAGTCTTCAAACCTCCTGGGAAAGTGCAGGTTAAACCCCTTAAAACGAACGGCATGTGCAGGGCATAGCGGACCTGTTTTTGAATCAATTAGTGGTTGGGAAACATTTTTGAGCATTTAGCACTCTACCAAAACCTTAGAAACTGTTATAAATGGCATTCTTACTTAGAACATCAAGTTCCAACTAATAAAAGGTTTAGAGAAGAGGTCTATGTGAAAATTGTTGTGAAACATACAGTATTTATTCTTCTTGGTACTACAGGTAATAAAGGTAACAATCCATGAATCATTATAATGGGATTTAAGTTTAAGATGGAAGACAACCTGCAAATCACGGAGATCCACTTCTCCCTTAGATGGCCATTTATGATCTGGTCTGTTTGTTTCTACAATAAGAGGTGGCTCACTAGGAACGCTTGTATACTGCAGTATCCTCTCCACTGATATTATTTTGTTTTCGAGATCACAGAGAGTCCATATGACCCAAGCCTGTAGCATATTTAGATTAAGTCCATATGTCACTGCGAGGCCCGCAATCCCTGACAGGAGAAAACCCAAAAGCAAAATGAAGAATGTGTTAATTGAATCTCATGTATCAGTTGCTCCACTTAATTAGAGAAGATAGCTACAAATTACCTGGATCAATAACCCCTTTTGGCATGCAAATCAATACTATCAAAGAAAAAGCAAACATTATTGATGATAACATGTCCAAACGAAAGCAAAGCCATTCCCTAGCACCAGCACTATGAAACTTTGGTCGTGAGAATTCATCCATTCGATTTGAATTAATGCATATAAATCTAGATTGCTGGTTGAAGCTTCTAATGGTTGTTGATCCTGACAATGATTCAGCAAAATGTTGTATGATTGGAGCTTTACACACTCCCATCAACCGCGCTAGTTCTCGTGCTGTATCAATGTAATATTGCTGAAGTAGAAAAGCAGGCAAATCAATGTTCATTCTTTCACAAATCCATCAGCTTCACTAATCCAATCAACTAAAATGAAGACAATACCTGATACCAGATGCTTATTCCAATAACTGGAACAAAGACAATAAAAACCTGCCAAGCAACCTGTGACATGACCGCTATGATTCCAATGAGTTGTATGATTGAAAATGCTAATGACCCAGTTTGAGAAGGTATGTTTGTATCGACATCGCTTTGATCAGTTGATGCCTGTAGAAAAGAAAAAAAATCAAATAGATAAATTGCATAAAATAATCTAAAAAAGTTAAAATTGATATTACAAACCCTGTTCAAGATGCGACCGCTTGGAGTGGAATCAAAGAAGGACATAGGAGCACGGAAGATACTGAAATGCATTTTATCGAATAAGATTGTTGCAGTTTTGTATCCAGCCATCATAAGTAGAAATGCTCTGATGAGGATACAAACAGAGCTGCCCATGGCTAATGCAACATAAACATAGAGAAGTGTAAACACACTAACTGGAGGATCCATATCCTTTGACACAGGAGCTGCCCAAGCCATCCAGTAATTGCTACCAATTTGAAGGACTTGAAAAAGTATTTGTGCAAATAGTATTAATGGTACAAGAGCGCCTTTATAAGCTGTTGTGATATACTTCCAATAGACCCAAAATCCAACTCTTCCTTTCTCCCTCTCTTCTTCTTGCACAAGCTGGCCCTTTTGCATATCTCTCTCTTCTAATTTAGAATTTTGAGCATCTTTTGGCTCTTCAGTCTCAGTTTTCTTGCTGCTTTGGGTGTTGATGGAGCTGTCTTCAATTGTATTGATTGAATTTTCATTAGCCAGATGGCCCAGATCCATACGGTCAATAGCTGAAAAAGCTTCCTTGTGAGCACCTACTAATTCCATGAAGTCACTTCCTGAAGTGATTATATCATCATATTTGCCCATTTCAGTAATTTTTCCATCTTTCATAACCTACCATGAAACTCAATACTCTTATTCTTTTTCACAGCTCAAGTGCATAACAATGAAATATAATTGAAGGAGAAAAGGAAAGTTGAGAGACTCACTAAGATAAGATCAGCAGAAGGTAAAAATTCCACCTGATGGGTAACATAAAGTACTGTTTTTGAAGCCAAAATCCCAAGCAAGCATTCCTGTAAATAGAAGAATGATTAGAACGATTTAAACACTAGAAAGTCAAGATTCACATAAAATATGAGCTTTAAAAGGCGTGTTATTACAGTCAAGACGTGTGGTTTAAATCATTATAAATCAATATTGAGCATTGATCATACACTCATCAACCAAGAATATATGGGTAGATATTTTGAATTCAGAATATGTATGCAAAATTTACGCTAAGAAAACACACACCTTAAATAGATGGGATCCAGTGTGGGCATCAACAGCACTAAATGGATCATCAAAGAGATAAATATCAGCATCTTGGTATAAAGCACGTGCAATCTGGATCCTTTGTTTTTGTCCTCCGCTAAGGTTGATTCCTCTCTCTCCTATAATTGTCTGGTCACCAAAAGGAAGAATTTCCAAGTCCTTTTTCAATGAACACGCTTCAAGTACATTCTCATATTTCTCCAAATCCATCTCCTGACCAAAGAGTATATTGTCTTGAATTTTTCCACTCTGTATCCATGGCGTTTGTGCAACATAAGTCGTTGTCCCACACAACTTCACCGTTCCGACCATTTTAGGAACCTCTCCTAAGATGCAAGCAAGCAAAGTAGACTTCCCTGAACCAACAATTCCACAAACAGCTACTCTCATACCTTGCAATACTTTAAAATTTAAATCTTTAACAGTAGGAGACTCAGAAGGGTCCCATGAGAATGTCCCGCCACTCACTTCAATTGCCACATTAGAGCTACCTCTAGGAAGTTTCTCTACGGCATCCTGTTGCAAATCCTCAAGACAAAGGAATGAGGATATCCTATCGAGTGAAACTTTGGTCTGAACAACCATTGAAATTGTATCAGGAAGAACGTAAATAGGTTCTTGCAGTACTCTAAATGTTGCGAGTGCTGAAAGAACCTTTCCTGATTCTAATGGTATCCCCATAAGCACGCAAGCTCCAAAAGTTACCACAGCAACAAAAGTAGGTGCACCCCAAAACACAAATGTAGTCAATGCTGATGTATAAACATACTTTCTCAACCAATTCGTCTCTTTTTTCCTCAATTCACTTATCTTCGACAAAAACTTCATCTCCCATCCTTGGAGCTTGAGTATTCTCATGTTTCTTAAAATCTCTGAAGTGGCTTTCATCCTTGTGTCTTTCGATTCCATCATCTTTTGCTGGTAATTCTCTTGCATTTTCCCCAAGGGAACATTGGCTAACATAACAACAAAAGTGGCAGCTAAAGCAGCCAATGAAGCAAGGCCTAAGCTGGAATACAAGATCAACAAAGCCAAAGTAACCTGAATTGGAACCATCCATAGGTCATGCATATACCAACTAAAAAGTGAAATTCTCTCAGCATCTACACTCATGATATTGATGATCTCTCCTGTGGTACGACCCTGCCTTGCACGGCTCGACAAGGTAAGGCCTTTTTGATATATAATAGATATCAGGAAAGCCCTGACTCTAACACCAACATGTTGCAACTGAAAAAACCAATGCCTTTGTGAGAGACATTCGAAGAATTTTGCTACTATGAATGCCACAACCAAAACATAGCCTTCATATTCAAATGTTTGGTTACCGTTAAGATACTGAACAAAGAAATCAATCAGGTAGGGACCAACATAAGTACATAGTGTATATAATAGTGCGTAAACAGCAGTAACCAAGACATATCCCCAAGCAGCTAAGATTAATGCCTTTGCCAATTGGAACGAATAAATTTGAGCCGTGCCATTGCTGTTTAAACTTCCATTGCTATCTAAACTACTTTTAGTGCATGATTCAAGCTTGCTTTTGAAAATAGGGAAGACACCATCAACTCTATCACCGTCATCTAGCTGAGGAACATCTTTAAGATCTATAGTTTTCTTATGACCAACAGATAGTAAAGGACCCACCCAAGAGAAGGTGAGAATGCTAAGAAAACTTGCATTCGTTAACAAAGAGACATTTCCGATGTCACTTTCACTCTCATTGAGTTCTTGATTAGAACTGATATCCCCATTCAAAAGAGATTCATGGAGAATGTTGCTCTCCTCTTCAACCCTCTTCCCAAAAAAGCCAGCATAGTTAAGAAGCAAAGCAGAAAAAAGAGACACAAAATCCAAAACCCACATATGTGTGCCCAAAAGACCAAGCTTTCTGTAACAAAACAAATCTAGTAGAACAGAAAAAAAGGAGATGAGAAAATAGAAACCCCACCAAATCCGAAGAAAAGCAGGGAATCTTGTCTCAAGCAATGGGTTGAAACAGTAGTGAAAATAAGCAGATATGGCAAGCCAAGCGATTGCCCTGACACCCAAATCCACTTGAGTGGCAAGATGTACATAAGAAACCCCACCACCATCAATATACCAGAAGTGATCAAAGATGAAGACAGACATATAAAACAAACATAATATCACACAAATTAAGGTAGCAATTTTGTAATGCAAAAATCTAACTTGTTCCATTCCACGTTTACCGGAACTTCGACCACTAATCCTCCCCCAAAACCAAAGAAAGGAAATGGAAATCAAAAGCAAAAGATGGAAAGCTGCAGAGAAACCATGAATAACGGTGGGTTCGACGAAGAACCATTCGTTTTTACCCATAACAAGACCTGTTTCTTGTAAAGATGCCATCTTTACTGATCAGGGATTGTAAAGATGGATTTCTTTCTTCAATATCGCCCCTTAATCGCGGAGATTATATAGGCTACGAGTTAGAAGACGGCTCCTTGGTGGGCAAGATAACCAATTTGCGCCTCTTTTTGTCATCATCCCCGTGCGAAATTAATCGAGCCAAATCTTTTTTTAACATAGAAAATGACAGAATCGTGATTTCCGAGCAAAGCTCTTTAGGGTATCTTTTTTAAAGAATCACGCGCGAATCAAAATAAGAATGGATACCTGTATATACTATATACACATATATTAACCGTAACAAATGGCCTTAAATTTAATAATTTAATTTTTAAAATCTTATTAAACTTTCCAAACAAACATGAAAGGTACATCCGAAGAGATTTTTTTTAGTATATTTTTTTTTTGGGAAAATTTGGGGCTTAAGCCCTTCTATTAAAATCAAAATCAAAGATTACAACAAAACTTTATCAATTACAAGTAAGACCAGTATACCCCCAAAAAGAAAAGGAAGTAACAAATTATAAAAGGCGGAAAATAGGACTCATAATACATGACTACACCATTGATCAAATAACATCAAAAAAACATCCAAACGAATGCTAGGTATAAAACCCAGCAACAGCAGCAGGAGCACCGGTTGCCACAAGGAAACAAACCACCAAAAACCAAGGACCCTCACAGTGTCCCCAACATCCATGATCAAATCGAAATCGGTCAGCATAGCACGCCCTGGTTGCCCAAAGACCATCCGAGGAGGTGCTTGGTGTAGTCCATAGCTCATCATCGTCCAAGCCGCCAAAAATAACCCAAAAATGATCTCTAACACAAAAATTGATTGCTGCCAAAACAAAGAACCAAAAAAGAACCCAGTCCTCAACCACACGAAGCAGCAGAGAAACCAAAACATCAAAAACATGTCCAGATAATTTTCGACAGGTGGCACAAACAAGATGTTCCAGTTATCCCAAGAAAGCCAGAATTTCTCCAAATTTTCCTTCCAGGCCATCATGATTCTTCCAGTTTTTAACCTTGACACAAACCGCTACACAAATATCATCACATACTTGATTAATGCTCTTTCTCACGTCAGAAAATCTCCTCTGATTTCTTTCTCTCCAAAGGAAATAAACCATAGCTGCAATAACAAGAGAAGCAATCTTTTTCTCTAACACAGCTAAAATAGCATCGTTCCACATAAAATCATACACATGATAAAGGTTAGGTCTTAAATAGAAGGCATTAGTAGCCGGCAGAAGCTTAGTGAGAACTCCAAAAGAAAAGTCACACCCAAAAAATAAGTGCGAGTGAGTTTCAGCATGACACGAACAGAAATTGCACAAAGGATTAACCTGGAGCCCTCTCCTAATCAATGAATCAGCACACTTAAGTTTCCCAAGAATCGCCATCCAGGCATAACAAGCAAAACGAATGGCGTGTTTTTTATGCCAAGCATACTTATACCAATCCACATTGTCTAAGGAAGAGTAGAAACGGGAAGAGAAAAACTTAGAAGTAGGCTTAGAAGGTCCAACCCACATCAAGTTATCAGTATCTAGAATCGGAATGCCCAAAATTCTGGAACGAATATTAATAGGCCAAGATCTGGGAAGACTCCATCTCCCATTCATAATCACGTCCTTCACACAGCAACCCATACCAGATGGGATACAAAAACTATTACCCAGCGGCTCACCATAGAACCAAGAGTCCCAAAACAAAGAGAAATTGCAATCAGTGCCCACCTTGAAGCTAACCAAATCCTTAAAACCAACAGCCTTGCAGCATATATATTTCCAAAATTTAGAAGCCGAAGAAGGAAGAGGCTTCCAGGGAGATTCATAATTATTCTATAATTGTTAGTCACATGGCGTTGCATGCAACTACAACGAGCTAGAGAGATCTAGTCTATTAAGCCAAAGATCATCAATACAGTGGAGCCTACTGGAGCTATGTAAAGCATAAAGTATTCAAACGGCTAAGAAAATATTTGGACGGCTTTAGATTTTGACTTCATCAATTTCCCTTTGCTGCATTCGCTTTAATGGAGGAGTAGAAAAGGTTGAGGATTGCATTCTTGAAGTCGGCAGCCAGTTAAAAAAAAAAACTAACATTTTGTTTTGGGTAGATTTCTTACAACTTTCTAAAGTCATTTTTTTAGTAAGAAAATTTTATGCTAAAATGTTTGAGGCAATTTTTTATTACAATTTTTTTTAAAAGAATCTGTACTAAAAAATAGTTTTAGAAAACAGCAAAAAAGTTATCTCAAACAAAGAGACAACTTTCTTATTATTTTCTAAAACAGTTTTCTAACACAAAAACAACATCAAGCCTTTGTCCCACTACATTGTGGCATAATTTTCAATTTTTTTAATTGATTTATAAAGCAGTAAGAAAGTTGTCCCAATCGAAGCCTACGTGCTTCTAAAAGCAGCTTAATTTTTGTATTAAAAAGTTGCTTTAAGAAGCATTGAGAAAGTCGTCCCAAACGAAGCCTAAGTCTTTGTTTGAGACTGTTTTCTTACTATTTTATATTTTAGACAACAACTATAATTTTTATTTTGCCACTTTTTTTCTATTTAATAAATTTTTATGCTAGGAAATTATTTTCTACTCCAACTTTCAAAAAAGCTATTTTTTCTGCAACAACTTTATAATTAACTTTATAAAAATTTTTAGCCAGTACAAACAGATCCTATGTGAAACAAATAAGATAGTACAACTTGCTTGTATAATGTTTCAGCTTTAAAAAAATAAAAAAAAATAAAAAAAAAATGTTTCAGCTTTCTTTAAAGTTGAAAAAGGATCAATTCAGTTTTTATTTTTTTCTTTTGAATAAATTATCAACATTCAAATTCTCTAAAATATGAAAGCTAGTCATTAATTAAAATTGTAGTTTCTGATATGTGAACTGTTGCAGTAGCTGTTCATTACTTTGCTGCAGGCTGTGATAAGCAAATTATTCTGAATTTTCCTTTTCTGAAAAGCGGAAAGAATGAAAGCCTTCTCATGCCTCTATTGAGGAATAATTATTATGTCCGGACAAAAAATCGTGGCTCTCTGCTTAATCCAAGAGGACCAGTTGTCCTGTAACCTTCCTAAATTATCATTGGCATCTTTCAGAGCAGTATTCAAGCCATGATCAAGAGGATTACATTGAATTTCATTAAGGAGATGAAGCTGGGTCTTTTTAGCCTCAAGGATAGCCTTGGAAAGAAAGGAAGAAGAAGACCAATTCTTCTTTTTAATCTCCATTTTGACTTTCCTTAAACAGTTGTATAAGGCAAAGATAGGGCTGGCAGTGTAAGGTTTGTCAAAAGCATTAATTAAAATCTCCCAAAAACCATCCTGATTAAGCCAAAACTTTTTAAACATGAATCTGGTGAACTTCGTATCATCATGTTTAGATATCAAAATAAGAGGAGAGTGATCAGAACCATTGGGAGGGTCAATTTTATAGTAAGCAGTGGGAAAGTAATCCATGAAAACTGAATTTACCAAGACCCTATCAAGCTTGATGTGGATAGGAAGATCCACCCTTTGATTATACCAAGTAAATAAAAGACCAACCGAAGCTAGGTCTTGTAAGCCACAGTCAAAAATACAGTTATTCAACTCATCCAGTCTCCCCTGAAACAGAGGAGCACCACCAACCTTTTCAGATTCAAATCTACAGCAATTGAAGTCGCCCATAATAACCCAAGGAAGGTTAATACTGTGAGAAAGCATCAGGAGATTGTCCCAAAGCTCTTTCCTGTCTTCAGGTAGATTGGCAGCATATATAACAGTTAAGGCAATTGGAGGAGAAGAACCCGCAGAGAGTATACCATGAATGATTTGAGAGGAGTAGAAAGAAGGAGAAAATGTCACCTGCGTCGGGTCCCATTTAATCCAGATTCTACCCGGGGAAGAATGACTGAAATTGTCACAACATTGCTCATTCTCAAAGAGAGAATGCGAATGCACAAACCACGGATCAGAAGCCCAATTAGGATGAATTTTGGCTTCCAAAACAGCAATAAGCTTAAGACTATGAGTTTTAATAAGGTCTTTACACATACCAACCTTAAGAGGGTTATTGAACCCCCTCACGTTCCAGGAGGCAAAATTCGGCAAGGACATGAGTTAACGAGAGTTTTTTGCCTTCCTGGCAGTGGACTTGGTTTTGGATTTTTTTGGCGGGGATTTGTCTTTCTTCTTAGAGGAAGATTTAGAAGATGAACTAGCTGACTGTTGATTATTGGATTCAGTTTTTGAGGCGCTAGAAGGATCCTCAACCTCAATATTTTCATCCACTTTCACATCCACCGGGTTTGAATTATCCATCAGAAGAGAAGCAAAACTATTAGCAAGCACCACTTGGGAAGGTAGAAGACTTTTTGTAGAGGATGGAGGTTTAGGGGGAGAAGTATCAATGTTAGGAAGATTTAGATTAGGGATATCTAAATCAATCTGAGAAGAATTGGGATCTAGAGTCGAATCCCGCTGGGCATTTTGCGGCACTATAGCAGAAGGAGATGGGGTTTCGGAGGTAATAATGGTAGAGGGAGGATTCTGAATCGGATTGTTTACAAGAGATGAGTTTCTGGAGGGAGGAAGTGGCGGTTTGGAGGTTCCAGTAGGCCTTGGAGTTGGTTTTCTGCTCTTGCTTCTCCCACGAATCACGCGCGGAGGAAGCGTCAGTTTTGGGTTGGGATTAGAGGAACAGAGAGCAAACGGGTGAAACAGAGAGCCGCATCCCTCACAAGGACTGGGCTTCCAGTCATACACGACTTGAAGGTTCAAATCTTCTCCATCCATATCAAGCGGAATAATTTCTGGTAGAGGCGAATTTTTGCTGATTTGAACACAAACTCTAGCGAATGTCAATCTAGTTCTTCTAGCACTGAGGCTATCAACAGAAATGGGAATACCAATGTAGCTAGCAATTTTAGATATACCAGAAGGTGTCCATAAAGCAAGGGGTAGATCCAAAATCTTAATCCAAATGGGGATAAGAGCAGATTCATCCCTTTTTGGCTTAAATTTTGGATTCCATTTCTGCAAAACGAAGGGTTTACCGAGAAGGAACCACGGACCGCCCGAGAAAACCATCTCCATATCTTCCGCAGAAGTGAATTTGAGGAGGAAGAAGCCATCCGCCATAGAAAGAAGAG